ATCTGGTCTGAGCTTCCCTGAATCAACTAGCTTTCAGAGACTCGCACCAGTGGATTACAACATCCTACCTATCGAGACTATTTGTGCGAATAAAAGCATGATAGTCGTCGTTCATGTAAGATCAGATGACACTTCCACACGAAATGAATGGCGTGGAACATATGGAAATAAACGGCTGATGGACAAAGTGAAGTCTTGTCTTCGAAAACGCTAATTTTTGCGGTCTCTTTCACAATTCGGCTTAAGTTCAGCTACAGTCTTCTCTTTTCCGTCGGCACGCCAAATGGCACAAAGGACCAAGAACTGCTGCTAGAGGAAGCTCGTCTCCATAGAGACATTCTCCAAACAAATATTGACGACACTTACAGGAACTTAACATACAAGGCATGTTCCTTCTTTTATGTTCTACTAAGCGTTATACATGGTTGATAAGTAGATAGATCAGATCGTGAGAAAATTACTCGCAATACTATACCTCTTATTCCGATTGTTTATAGTTTGTAACACTGCAGTTTGTCGGGGGCGGCGAGCGCAACGCAGCTGAGCCCTCCTGCGGTAGCCTTGTTCTAACAATGGCGATCGGCAAGTGATCGGTTCGGGAGGAAAACAACCAGTGGTGGCAATGCCGCAGGTCGCGACCGCTGACTACGACCCGACAGATTGCGATAATATCAAATGTATGTCCCCGCTTAAAGGCATGGTCCGCGATCAGGTATCGAAGTTGAAAATATGGCGTAGGTTAGAGTGGTCCGCGACGAACAACCTTGTACCGGTTTCGCGGCAAAAAATTCTATGGGAGGGGCGCTGTAGCGCAATATAGGTTCAGTGGCTCCTCCTTTTTTCCAGTGACTCCGCCTCCAGACTCCGCCCCTAATGACCGACTTCCAGTGAAAAATGAGATTGCAGGACGAAAAAGCATGATAATCGCCACTTGTACGATCGTAGAAATCTTATCGGTGAATCAGCCGTGCATATGAGGGCGTAGTTTTGGAGATAGAGTTGATTGGGCACGTACAAACTGGGATCGAAATGGGGTTCTATCTAGGGCAGGTGGCATGTTTTTTGTGCTTTTTTTGTTCACAGTCGAGTTACTCAACCCCTTGTCGTCTATATGGAACCCCCTAATCCACCATCTGAGATGGCGAGTAATCGCGGGTTCTTCTTTTAAATAGAAAATCCATCAAAAAATGCCAAACATTTTCACAAACACGCTACCAACGACAGACAAATTCCTTCAGTCTGTAGAATCGGCTCTATACTTCTGACACATCGTCAGATCATGAGTTCGAGATTGCGTCAAGCTTGTCAGTTTCTTAACAGTACTTATCAGCCGCTACAGTTTCTCTTTATTCATAAGTCTGCAGTGGATCAGGCCAACTGTAGATCACCAATCCACCACCGCAACCATGTTTCTATGCAGCTTGGAGAGATCGGTGTGTTTTCATTCGGTCCTTGGTCAGGTCGCCGCTGTCTGTCGTTCATAATCCATTCTTCGTCAACGTCGAGATGTGACCTAGAAGTGGGTCATTCTATTGTCCGAGAGCAGGGTGAAGCAGTTTTTTGAATGACAATCCTTCCCGTCATAAATGAATGCGTGCAGTTCCTATAAATCAGGCCCCTGGATTTTCCGATCTACTCCATGTAGCCACAAACAATGCTGCTTCAAACATTCGATGTCGAGCTAATGTCTTTCAACGCTGCACACGGATTCCCTTTGACTAATGCTCTATGTTTCTTGTGAACAATTAGTTACCGTACACTGCGCTCATCTATAAGGCTCTCATCTCCTGTACAGTTGGCAAGAGCAAACAATCGTTCATTCACGCTACGACCCACGTGAGTGCAAGGATACACCTCTAGAAATGTGAAGTGATCCGTTGAAGTCCTATTTTAATCCGTCGATACGCTCCGTGCAATTTTTTATTTCGGACACCTAGACGACTGTTCAGCACTACTTTGACGCTACGACCTTGGACAGTGGCTCTCAATTATGTTACCCTGTTACAGTCGATTTTGAAAAAAAAGGGTGAGGCGTAGCCGCTGTGACATAACTGTTAGCTATAGCCTGGTGATCTTGAGCTCCGAATTCGAGTCCTGTCAATACGCCCAAAATAATTGTCACAATGAAATTTTGTTGAGTATTTCGGGATGTAGTCCAACCACTGTGCAATTCAATTTGCGAGCAAGAATGATAAAGCAATTTTTTGACCGTAAGATCGTCTCTGATAATAGCCGATGGTGCTGGTCACAATTTCGGCACTTATTTTTGACACCGACGCAATCAGGTGCTATGATAGCGCTCAACAGCCTCTATGTGGGTGTACATAGCGCATACGGTCAGAGAATGATGAGCTCTAAATTTCCAGTGAGTAGCACCATGGTGAGAAGTAAGTTAATATTAGTGCTAGGGGCACTGATGGCTTCCAAAATACGAGTCTGAGTGTGAACATAAGTGGCATTTATCCGTGTCATACTGACGCACAGTCAGATATGCATGGAAAAGTGGTGAAACCTGAGAAAATACAAAAAATCGCGCCCACCATGTACTGAACCTCACAGGGTCAGTGAGTACCTCAACGTCAGGCTGAACATTGATTGAACTACTGATTCTTTACAATTTTATTTGAGCGCGCACTACAGTGCATTGACCTGCAAGGTGATTATCTCTAGGTCAGGTTTATAGCTGTAGAAAGGCACTCCATTTAGCAGCTGGAACTGGTGAAAGCTAATCTGGAAGTGTGTGAAAGCTGGGTGTTTTCTTATTACTTCCGTTTTTTATAGCCATGATGAGTAAAAATTTTCGCTTCTGATTTTTCACTATTTAGCACTTGGGTGCATTACGATATCTGGCGATATCTTGCGATAGTAACGTTACGCTCCTAAAGTTGGACGATGATGTTGTGTGGAACATTCAAAGCGCCCTGGATTTCGTTCGAAAAAAGTTGCAACCGAATCGCATCTACTGCTCCAAGTACGTTTTTTTCTGATTCGACGAGTTAATGTGGGAAGAAAAAACCAAAAAAGCAGCATTTACGTGAGAACAGAAAAAAAGCAAAAAGGCAAACCATGTTTATATGAAAACAAAAATCACTAGAAGTCTCATACCATTATACAAAAAACTAATTAATCCACTGCTATTTTGCGACATTTCGAGAAAGTCTCCTACAAGCCACTCCTGTTTCCTGGACAGCAGCTGTTTGCGACAGATTTACCCGTCGCAAATGCCATAATTTCGGTGAAAACTGTGAAAAATTTCTGTCAAAATTGTCAGAACTCTCTGCAAATTAAACCAGTTGATAACCTTGCTCAAGACAATGTTTTCTCCAACATCTCGGCCTCATTTCTCAGAAGATTGGAATTTGAATCTCCAACCACGTGCTGATATGGCCACGACGTAACGTCTCCAGCCACACCGGCAGTTTCGATCAGAGCGTTTCAAAAGTACCACTATATTTGTTGAGATCATGTTACGCGGCAGGACAGGTTCCAGTTCGGCTTTAATATGGTTTCCCCGACAATTTAGCTGAGAAATCAGAACATCATTTTTTTAGGGTTCCACGTCTCCTTACGGGCGTATTTTTCAGGTGAAGAAGTCGAATTGATTTGAAATCCTGAAATTTCGTGAACGCATTCTGGGTATGCGATTCCACGGGCTATTTAGCCTCAAACTTTGGAGAACAGTTTGGATTGTTGCACATTGTTCGCAACTTCCATCTTTTTACCGATTATGATGTAGCCAGTCGGATCACCCAGCTGCCGCCAGGTGCTACTCCTTCTTTGTCACGGCCCGTTTCGCCGGGCCGGCCTGGCTTCGCCAGGCACTCTTTCCTTAGGCGAGGTAGAGTGTGCAAATACGCCTAACCGTCACAGTGCATTTTCCAGCAAAATGTAGAAAAATAATTGAAAATAGCTCGAGCCATGGGTTAAAGTTGAATCATGCGACCCCATTTCACCCCCTATATCACCTGCTGGAACCAACGCTGACTCTGCGACCCACGGTATGGAAACAGTGGCCTTATCTTTCTGACGCCCCTTATCCAATATCAGATGCTGGCAGTTTTTGTCACCAACCTAGTGTTCCTTTCCTAAACCCTACATCGTATCTTGGAACCAACCTCCTACTGTTGCTGTGACTGATGATCTCAGTGACCATACCCTTCTAACATCTCGAATCTTATCAGCAGCTGACAGTTCTTGTCATCCACCAATAATGTTCCTGTCCCATACCCTAAATCATATGTTGGAATCAACACCTGGCTGATGCTGTGACCCGCATTACGAATATGGCGAGAGTCCCCTTCTTTCTTATCAGATATTATCAACTGATATCAACTTCACCTCCTATCACCCACCAATAGTGTTCCCGTCACACCCTCTACGTCACTTCTTGGAACCAATATCTCGCTGCTACTGGGAGCCGGCGCTATGAATTTCGTGTCAAAGAGACAGACGCACACGCACGGACATAGCCGATTATATATGGTAGAATTGTAACCGTTGTCCCAATGTAGCGCTGAAATCTATCCTTTTGTCCATTCTTTTCTCGGAGTTAGTACCAAAAATCTCCATAACCCTCACACGAAAATTCAGCAACCTGTTAGAGCAGCCTTTGAAGCATCCTACCGCTTGATGCGTTCTCCACTACTGCAGGTTTCTTTTTCTGGAATGCACTCCCGCATTCGGGCAGTTTAACGCTTCGAATGGTCCTCTCTCAGGTTGTTGATGAAAGATAGTCATAGTCATAGTGATAAAGCCAGTTGCTGCTGTTCATGGCAACTGAGTAAACAACCGTCATGCATCTGAACTCCGGTTGCTTTAGCGGCCGTACATGATGTCGATAGCGGTAAGAGCATAGAGTGAGTTGTGTACGAACTACTGAGAGCCTGATACCTGAATCATATCAATCGCATTATGGCAGTAAGCGGTGTTGCGGATCATGATGACGCTTTCAACCCTTATCAGTTGCTGTCACTTAGTGTCACTCGTCAGTGGGTTTCCGCCCCCTCCCCCTATACCACTTCTTTGAACCAAGGTCCCACAGACCCTGCAACCTGCCCTACAAAGTTGGTGACCCTCCGCATCTAAGGCCCCTTATCGAATCTTATCAGATGTTATCAGCTTCTGTCACACACCATCATGTCCACTATACCACTCTCGAAATCAAGGTCCCACGGTTGCTGCAACCTGCGCTAAGAATTTGGTGACACCCGCGTCTAAAGTCCCTTATCGGATCTTATCAGATGTTATCAGCTTCCTGTCAGCCACCACCCTATATCACTTCTTGAAATCACGGTCCCGCAGCTGCTGCAACTTGCGCTACGAATTCGGTCACCCTTCCCTTCTAAGGCCCCTTATCGAATCTTATCAGGTGTTATCACCTTCCTGTCACCCACCAAAAGTGTTCCCGTCCTGCCGTGTATATCACTTCT